AAGAGTATCTTTTTTTTTTTTTTTTACAGGATTATTGCAGTATTCACGTGGTCAAAATTCAGACATTTGGCAACTGACTCATATTTATGATGGTTGCAGTGTCTTGGGATCATATGAACGACATTTTTGCGACATTCTGACAAGTAAAATCAACGGGGAAGCCAGACTGATTAAACAACCATGTTGCTAACTTAACTACTGCAGTGATTCACTTAACAACTGTGGCAAGAGAGGTCATAAAATGGGACAAAACTCATTTAATCAATGTCTTATGTAGAAACTGAAATTTTGGGCTCAATTGTGATTGTAAGTCAAGTAACAGTTTGGTGCATGTTTAATCATTCAATCAGAATCGAGCTGGAAGGGACCTTGGAGGTGTTCTTGTCAGCTCAAGCAGAAGACCCTATACTACTTTAGACAGGTGGGTGTCCAGTCTCTTCTTAAAAACCTCCAGTGGTGAAGCACACCCAACTTCTGAAGGCAACTTCTGTGCTGTCCACTGCTTAATTGTCCTCACTGTTAGGAAGTTTTACCTTAGTGTTTATATATAAACTGTAACACTATTATTAAAGAAATTATAGGCGTAAAATAATAAAACAGATGCGGTACCCCAATCAAAAAACTGTGTGGGTAGACAATACTTAACTGAATCCTCATTGACTGAATCAATGCAATGGCCTTGATTTGCATGGCACAGCTGAATCAAAAATTAACTTTACTAAATTAGGGTGGAGATGTTACCAAGGAATAAATGTCCTTAGGAGTAGCAGTATCTTTGAATTGAACCTTAAACTGCAATATTTCTTTTTCATGATTATGTTACCTGATTTATTATATAAACTAATGACATGATTTTTTTTTTACAGCTAAGCTAAAAATTAATATTAGAAAGGTGAGAACACCGAAACAGGGAAGTAAAATTTTTATTCAGTCTTTGACTCAGCAATTCCTGCAATTTCAGCAAAATCATGAAACCAGAATGTATTACTGAGGCATTCTTCCATCAATTACGCAGGCTTTCCTTTTGTAACTTACATGATAAAGAGATCTTAAGACTTTGAATTGGCTTGATAAACATATGTTAATGTTAATTTTGGATCTCTTTTCTTTATGGCCAAAATCATTTTGTTTTTTTGTAAAGTGAAATAAAAAAATTCATAGGTAGTCCTAGACTGATGATCATAATTGAGCCCAAAGTTTCTGTGGCTAAGCAAGACAGTTGTTAAGTGAGTTTTACTCCATTTTTCAACCTACTTTGCCACAATTATTGACTGAATCACTGCAGTTGTTAAGTTAGTAACATGATTGTTAGGTGAATCTGGCTTCCCCATTGACTTTGCTTGTCAGATGATCGCAGAATGGGGTCATGTGATGTTGGGACACTGCGACAGTCAAAAGTAAGTTCCAGTTGCCAAGCATCCGAATTTTGATCATATGACCATGGGGATGCTGCAACAGTCACAAGGATGAAAAATGGTCTTAAGTCACTTTTTTCAGTGCCATGTAACTTCGAATGGTCAATAAACAAATGGCTTTAGGTCAAGGGCTTCCTACATACCTTTACATGAGCATGAGTTTGTGTTCTGTGAGAAAGCAGGCTAAAGGCTGCAGGATGTTATCATTTGAACCTGCAGTTTAGGTTCATTTAAGTAGGTTTAGGGCAACCATTTTTGTCATAAAGAATAGGACAGATGTCTTGGGAGGGTTGCTGAACACACTGGCAATCTATGGTTGGATTATAGTAATGTGCTCTTTGTTGGCTCTTGAGGAATGTGTGAAAATTGCAGAATGCCATCCCACCTCCCACCCTCCAGCCAAAATCATGGACTTCACTAGGTACAAAATATGTTTTTTTGTTCTGAACAATTAAACGAAGATGGATTCTATTATCTTGTCTTTATTGTCCCTGTTCCCATTCACTGCCATACCTAGAGACTGCCCTTGAATGGTGTTAGAATAAAAAAGAAAATACAATTTTAATACTGGAATAGCTGAGAATGACTTAAGCTTGATTCACTTGAGGGGCTGCCACAAAGATAAGGGGGTCAAACTATTTTCCAATCCACCTGAAGGAAAGACCAGAAACAATGAATGGAAATTAATCAAGGAGAGAAGCAACTTAGAACTAAGGAGAAATTTTCTAACAGTGAGAACAATAGAATAGAATAGAATAGAATAGAATAGAATAGAATAGAATAGAA